TTCACTTCCTCACTCTCAGCTCCTTCTGTCAAAGTTCACGCTCCTGTCTCAGGCCCAGTTCCACCTTCTCACCTTTATGATTGCCTCGCTTTCCTTCCAGATCTTGCATCTGATTTTTGCTTTCCTTGCAGGTCAGCAACCCACCATTCTCCTCTTAGTGGTTACTTCAATACATTCTCATAATCTTCACTATTTCCCTCCTGCATTCAGCCTCCTACAGGCTATTCCATACATCACAAACTTCTTCAGCCACACTGCTGCATCCATATCCTTCCAGACCTTCACCACTGCTCCCAGCTTCCATCCCCTCCTGGTTCTTCATCCCTGTGCCTTTCTTAGCAGTATATTATTCCAGTGAGACTCAAAGCAGAGTTATGAGGTGAAGACACATCACTGAGAGCTTTGATCGGTATCAGAGAGCACTTTGAAAGAAATAAGTAAATGAGAGGGGAACAAAGATAACCCAGACCCCTTATTATTTAATATATGAATACAAGTTAAAAACAAGGTAATATGTAGTCTGGGTGACAGTAGCAGTTGGTGACAGGAATATAAAGGAAGCAATAAACATCTGAGTTTGTTCACTGGGGAGAAGATGATTTGTTGATGGAAGGCAAATTTGTTCATGATGGAGGAAAAAAAAAAACACAAAAAAAAGCCAACCCCACAAAAAAAAAAAACCCACAAAAAACCAAACAAACAAAACAAAAACAGAAAAAAAAAAACCCCAAAAACAAAAAACCAAAACCAAACCAGGATGAACCAGAGCAGAGATGAAAGACTGGGTGATGTTTGATCAATGAGGTTGCTCATCGCATGGGTGACCAGTGCCTTGTTCTGTACTTACACTGGCCCCACACTGCGTGCCACAGTGGCTGTCACCCCAGCGTGACTGCCTTACACAAATCCATGTGACCATTTGCTAAACACAAAATGGTTGTGCAGTGGGAGCAGACAAAACAGACTTAGGGCAGTCATGTGCCTGCCAGGCACCCTGAAGCTGCATTTTGTGGAGAAGGAAAAGGCAGTTCTTGTAAACACCGGGTACTTTAGTGGGGTATAGCATAGAAACGGGGTCTGACACAGCAACTGAACTGGTTTAAGTTATACAGCCTGTGTCCACTGGATATGGCGTACCTTTAAGTAGCATCAATTAAATTCTCTCAGCTTATTTAATTGCAAACAGCTTTTCCTTCTGAAGCTTCCTTACAGTTTTAAAAAATAACCGTATCTAAGACAAGACTCATTCCCCAACCAAAAGTTTCTCACAAAAACCACACCAAACATGAATTTAGGGCTCACCAAAGCGTGTGCTTTGGCTCTGGATGATTTTGGTCTCCAGCTACTCTTTTGACAAAACCCCAGAAGTGTTTGACCTAGATATGCTGCCGAGTTTGGATGGCTAGGGTTTATTTTTTCAGCTCAGCCAGACTTGAAAAACAATTATTGCAGCTCAGCCCAGAGCACTCGCTCCCCAGCTCCCAGGTTGGTTGCGTAGCAAACTCCGCAAAACACAGGCATAGGCTCGGAACACACAGCACTCAGTAATGCCAGAAAGCCTGTACTGGCTCCACGTTATGCTGAGCTTTTTCATACCTCACATTATGCCCTACTGTTTCCTGGTTGCTCTGTGCAGTCTGCTGACTCTACAGTTGTATTAATCTGATTCTTCCTCTAGGGTATTTAGGATTTTGTCATCTTTCCTTCCTCTCACTTCCCTCCATCCTCTTCCTCTGAAGGATATTTTACCTCCTTACTTTTTGATGAACTGTTCTCAGTTTCTGCCTGTGAAACACAGGTACAAACTCCCTGGGCTTGTAAGATGGCTGTAGGACAGGAAAAGGAGTGCACTAGAACAAGAGCTTGCTGCCTCATGGCAGTAGGCGGGAGCTCAGCACTCCTCTAGTAAGAGAGGAGTACATGGGTAAGAGCACGGCACAGACCTGCCAGTGGGACAGGAATGTCACAGCCCCTAAGGTGAGGGAGCAGGTCCTGGGGACTGGCCTTGCTCCATGCAGCAAGGTTTCCTCTTCACCACCCTGGTCCCTTCAGACACCCAGCACCGAGTGTACACAAGCAAGGTTTTCAAGGATGATGTTAAGGCCATTCACCAAACAGAGGGAATGTGTCATTTACAGAGGGGAATAGGTCCCTCTTCACCTTCATGGCAGAGAAGTTCGGGACCGCCCTCCGAAGCACACAGGGGCAGAAGCCTTGGGTGTTGCAGCTCTGGGCAGAATTCCTAACTTCCAAACACTTCTCCTGCTACCGAGAAACACTGGAAAGGATTTAGATGCAAACAAAAGCCAGAGAAGCACATCTTTTTAGTGTAAAAACTCCTAAGGAACAGTAGTAAAGGAACTTATGAAGGTGACATACATGGACAAGTTGGGGACATTCCAGGACATACTCATACTGCGATAAAGGAGTAGGAAATGAAAGACCTGCAGGGTAAAGGTAAAATCCAAACCACATACTTAATTCTATAGTTTTTATTTTAAAAACAGGAAACAACCACATTAATAAGCATATAAAACCCATCAAAAATATTCACAATGCTGTTACAGAAAAAGAAAATAACAAAGAGATATCATGTGAGAAAGACCTAAGCTTTTCAGTCCAAGCCAACATACATCTCTGATGCAAAGTATGGAATGCTCTTATGCACAGCTGTAGGGGGAATTTCCTAACATATAGATGTCCACGTAGAAATCTCATGTCTGGAAGTGATGGAGGGTCACGGAAAGGGCACAGAAGTCTGTATTACTGAGAAGCTATGAAAGCTGGGAAAGAAGTCATAGGTAATACTTCTGAGACTGAGTATCTGGCACAGACGCCTGATAGAAAGGTGGGGGAAACAGGGTGTAATAGCGCTGCGTTGTGCAAAGCTGGAGTATTTCAAATGAAATCACAGGAAATATTTCAGGGCAGCAAATATACTGATCTTTGCAACCCTTTCTCATTAAGGAAGGTAGAAATGTCACAACTCCAGTTACGGAAAAAATGCCAGATACAACCCCCCCCCAGAATATACATCAACATGTATCTCTCTGACCTACTCTAAAGCAGTATGTTTTCAAGAAAGCTTGGTCTAGCTACAGCAAAATTGTCATAGTGTTGTTCCTGCCCTTCTGAGCCTTTCCTCCTTTTACCCACCTTGGAATCTGTGGACCTGCCTCTCCTACAATACTCAGCAATGAACTCCAGCACGAGTTTGCAGGTAGACCTAAGTTTGATCAAGTCTGAAAACACAGATGATGTTGGAGCAGAAGTTTAAATTGGACCTGCCTCTGTGCTACCTTTAGCTTGCTTGTGCAGGTCTGGACAGATATGGGCCTGTAGTCTCTTCTTGACATAATGCTGCAGTCAGAGAGGCAAAACTCCCACCCCTTGGTTGCAAGTATATCATAGGTGCTACTTTTTGCTTTCCTGAACTGAACTGTGCTAGCCTGGCAGCAAGGGTAGGTGTATACATACTCAATTGCCTAGCAGTAGAACAAGCAGGGAGACCAGTATTAACTAATGTACAGTTTCTGTCTGCCACATCCCTTTTTAAACAGAGGCACTTTTGCAGAGCTGTACACATCTACACAGCATGCTGCACATCACAACATCATGCAGGTCTTCCAGAGGGGACACATGGGGCAAAACAGCTTAGCCTGCAACCACCCAGTGGACTTAACAGACCTTTCACACTGTTGAGCTAGCAAGTTCCAGTAGCTCTGGTCTCTAGTCCTGCATCTCTACCTTTATGAACTTACACATGCCATAACCAACCATGCCTGTGTCCACAAGGGTCATGCTACCCATGCCTCTGTTTAATATTTAGATGAACAATTGCTAAGAAAGTACAGCTTTGAAAAGTAACTTTTATCCTCAGACCCCTTTAAGTAATAATCTGCAATTTTCAGACTTTCTGACCTACTAGAATACAGCAGAGAAGCAAAACCAAAAAAAACAAAACTTAGAGAACTGAGGAAGAGCAACTTTCAGATTTGCAATAAGCACCCTCAATCATCCCATAAAATGCTTAACCATGACTTAAAATATAAACTATGCTTAACCATGACTTAAATATAAACTAAACTAATAAAATTCATGTGCTGTAATACCACTTTCCAATCAAGACTTGGGAACAGTATTTAAAATTGCCACCAAAAAATCCCAATTAAGCTAGATTTCAGTGGACAAACATACCTCTTCTGGCATTTCTTTCTAGAGGGCACAAATAACTTAAAGATGATGTGCAGAACTGGCTGTTGTACATACCATCCAAAATGCCCAATCTCCTGTTTAGTACCACACTTCTCCTTCAATCTTATCGCACCTCAAGTCTACAGCATCTTGTTAGACTAGCTATTTCTCTTAAACATCTTCAATTTCATTATCTGTACACTTTTGTACACCATTAAAAAAATAAAATATTTACAAAGTGACATACAAATAAATAAACTTAAGTATGCTTTCAGTCTGTCTATACAAAAAAAAATAGTAAAAGAGCAGGAAAAATATGCATGTAACTTGGTCCCCTTTTTCCTGAGGCTGAAAAAAGTGCACACTGGATAGGAAAAAGCAAGTAGATGGCTTTTTGGTAGGCTTGTTAAATTCCAGTGTAACACCACGCGCGCACACACACACACAGAGTAGACTCAAAGGGCCAGGGACTTGCTTAGTGGATCACTTCAACTCACTAAAAAAATAGGAATTAGATTCAAATATATAATGGTCACTACGTGCGTAAGTATTAACCCCAAATAGCAATTAAAGGTGAGAAAAGCAAAAGAATATCATCAGCTCTTCTCTGTTCCCCCAATGTTTGTGACAGGGAAGATGAAATTATTTTTCCAAGTGCCAGGTGCCTTCCAGTACTTGAAAATGGGACCACCCATATCAGCTTTGCTTAATGCTTGTAAGCCTGGCAGAACAGGTGGGTATATGGGCACAAAGAAGAAAATAGCAGCAACTGAAGGGGGTGGAAAATGTCCCAGTTCTCATGGTTCTCTTTGCTAATTCCTTTTATGACTCTTTAAAGCATGTAAGAGTCAAAGAAGGGGTGTGTCATGAATCTTAGGCAACTTATTTGTTAGGTTGTATGCTGTTCAGCTCCACCATGGGGTTCTTCTCTGCAGGTGATGTGGGGCTGGCTTCTGCTCGTCCTTCAAAGCCCCTGGAGATATCTTCAAAAGTCCTGCCCTTGGTCTCCGGCACTTTGAAGAATGTGAAGACAAAGAAGATGACCAGGAAAACAAGGAAGATGAGGAAGACATAGGGGCCACACAGTTTCTGCAGGGAGGACAAAAGCAGGAGGTTTTAATTTGAAAAAGCTCATAAACCCAAATACAAGTCATTTGCTGTTGACAGGTCAAAATTACAACACCCTTCTCCAACAGTGCCCTTCACTGACTTCTTGGTTAACACAGCATTTTTAAAAATGAAATCAGGTTCTCATGGACTTCTGATATGCTTTAATGTTTCTGGGGCTGATCAAAATTGAGTCTTCTAAAGGGAAAGCCTTGATGTGATAGTTAAGAAGGCTCTTGCAACTGTTTGTAAGCTACAAGCAGTTAAGACAGCAGAATGTAAGATGAGCCACCCCACTCAACCTTCAGTAACAATCAGAACACAGAATCAGGGACCTCTTGGAAGACTGACCAATCTTCTGCTCAAAGCAGGGACAACTTCAAGGAGAGATCAGGTTAAGGGTCATGCAGTCATCTTTTGAAGTCTCCAAGGATGGAGATTCTACCACCCCTCTGGACACCTATTCCAATGCTGCAGCACTATGTTTTGCAAACTGGGTCCTTACCTCTGCATAGGGGAAAAGCATTCCCACCAAGAAATTGGAGGTCCAGTTGGAACAACCGGCCACTGCCATGGCTGCAGGCCGTGGGCCCTGGCTGAAGAGTTCTGCCACAATGAACCAGGGGATAGGGCCAGGGCCAATCTCAAAAAGAGCCACAAAGCCAAAAGTGGCAATGATGCTGATATATCTGATCCATGCCACAGTGTCCTGTAAGGGAATAAAACATGACCAGCTGCAATTTGTAACAAACATGGCACAGCACAATGCCATCTCTAGCGTCACAGCTTTCTCAGCTGCACTGTGAATACTGAGGCACAGTTTCCAGAGTTAGGAAGTTGCACTCTCCACCACACACTCAGCTCTAGCCCCAGGTGTACCTGCCCACAGGGCAGAATTACAGGGCAAAGCAGATGTGTAACATTGCAGGTCCCCAGCTGAGATCAGCCTGGACAAGCACACCAATTACTCACCTTCAGAGCTAAAGCGATGGTCATAACAGCAGCACACACAGCCATGCCACCCAAACCAACTAAATGAAGAGTTCTGCGCCCCGCACGCTCCACCAGGAACAGCTGGAAACGGCAGGAGAAGGAAAAAAAAACCCAAAAATCCATAAGCTTGGCAGAAAGAGCAGAGGAGGCTCCCTTGCTCAGCATGCCCTGCACCTCTTCCCTTTGCCTGCCTGCAGACCTCAGTGCAGGTCACCAGGCTGCTCCATCTTTGTCACAAAGTTTTTCCTCTCTGGTTCTTGCCCTCTCTCACCCCCACCATGCACTCCTTTCCACTCTCCCTTTCTTCTACAAGGATAACACCACCTCTTTCTCCCCTCCTCTCGCAATGCTTTTAATGCATTCTTTTCTTTCATCTTACAAGCCACTTGCCTAGCCCAGTGCTTTGCCACAGCCTGGCTATTTGTCTTCAGTCACTTCTCCCAAACAAACCCAGGCAGACAAGTTACCTCTCATCATAAGGCCCTGTTCCACTTACCGACACAACAGTGAAGACCGTGTTTACGACACCAGCTCCAATAGTGGCATACACGGGCTGTGTGATACCAGCTCTTTCAAAAATCCCTGTAGAATAATAGAATACCTGGGAAGAGAAGCAAAAGTTGGATACTGTCATAATTCCAGTGTTTTGAGAGCATGTCCCTCATTCTCTGCCTAGCCGCTTGCAGGCCCAACAGGAAGTTTTTAAGAAGCACTCCACAGTACGAAACAGGATGCTTCCTGTCAAAGTTCATTCGTTTGGTGAAAGGCTGCAATGTCTTGACAGGGGATGTGAGGCAAAAGTGAAAGCAAGTATAATCTCCACGTTAGCAATCTCTGCACTATCACTAAACAGTGACCTCCAGACAAGGTACGAAGAGGTTTCGGGAAGAACAATTCTCTCAACATTAGCAGCAAGTGTAAGTGGAGCCAGAGATAAGAGAGGCCCAGCACAGGGCACAGGAAAATAACTCACAGCATTGATGCCCGAGAGCTGTTGGGAGAGCTGCAGCACAATGGCAATGATAATGGCTTGACGGTAGCTTGGAGAACGGAAGAGCTCTGGCACAGTTGCTTTCTTTTCCTGGGACATTTTGGCACTCTCTTCTTTCATCTCCAGGATGTCTTGAGACACATCTTGTGTGCCACGGAGCTTCTGAAGAACTAGAGGGAGGAATCAAAACAAGTAAGCCATGTATAATACACCCACAGCCAGTAGGTCCCCACCCCGCTGTTTCAGAGGGCACACTGGGGAAACTGGACCACCTGCTAGTCAGTGTTTGGGCCTGCTACGTGGGAAAGACTGAAGCTCTACATGCAGCCTTGCTCACCTTTTCAACCCAGACAGAGGCCAGGGTGCTGTTACCAGCATGGAAATCAAGCCCCGCTCACGTTGCTTGATCTCCAAACTTACATTTGATCCCCAATTCACTTGCCAGAACTGACTGCAGCCCACTGTGGTAGGAGAGGAAACACCCTCCATGCTCCTTGTTAAGTATCAGCCTCTGAGGAGGAGCTGACATTGCTGCAGAAGGCCCTGCTGCATCCCACCAGGCCAGGTGCCACTCCTCATGTCTTAGTCCCACCCTCGTAAGATGCCAGGTTTCTCACACTTCCCGGCACCGGTACAACCCAAAGGGTGGGAGGGTAGACCAGGCCTGCTGCCCTCCAGGAGTCACACCCTGATCCACCACAGGCTCCAGAGTCAGTCCTAGCCTCCCACTCAAGTTCAGTGCAGGCTGGGAGCCAAATACAGCCCTGCCCCTTCAGAGATGAGTTCTTACCTGCTTGAGCTTTCTCTTCCTCCATCTTGTTGATCAATAGGAAGCGAGGACTCTCAGGGCAGAAAATAAGAGCCACACACTGCAGAACCGCTGGGAGGACCGTGAACCCCAAAAGCAGCGGCCAAAGTGGCTCAGTCCCCATTATTCCCTCCAGGCCAAAGATCTACACCACGAATTGGAGAGAAATAGCGACTTAAATACTGCAGTTCCTCACCCCCACACCAATGAGTATGACAGGACCACACATTACACCTGATGGCAAGCACAACCCACCTCCCTCCCACCTACCCCACCTCCTTCCCCCTGAGGACAGACCAGGTTATGTCAAGCCTACCTGGGCCACCAGGATGCCCACAACAATGCCCAGCTGATTGAGGGTGCCAAAGGCTCCACGGAGGCTGGTGGGCGAGACCTCACTGATGTACATGGGCACAAAGCCAGTGCAGAGACCACAGAAGACCCCAATAACAAAGCGGCCAATAATCAGCATCTCCACTGCCTTTGCCATCTTGGAGAAGGCCATGAGAGTACCACCAGCAAAGGCCAAGATGTTCACCAATAACATGGAGTTCCTCCTGCAGGGTAAAGATGTCAAGACTGAGCTTAAACTGGTTAATACAGTAGGAAAAGAAAAAAAAAAAAAAAAAAAAAAAAAAAAAAAAACCCCGGGGAGAGGGGTAACCCTACCCATGACCCTGCCCCTTGTCTCAGGGGCAGAAGGAGAGCAGAGTAATTCCCATTCAGCAACTCCTTTGGCCTGCAACCCTTTCTTTTTGCAGTCCACACATTCTTTCTTCTTCCCTTTCTCTAAGCTCTGCCCTCTTCCTCCCAACACTTCATTGTAGAAGGGAAAAACTGCCTAATGGCTTGGATCCCTGGTCCCAACTTACCTGCCAAATCTGTTGACGAACAGGCTGACTGAGAAGGAGCCGATCATACCTCCTACTGAGAAGATGGCCACAGAAAGGGACCACAGAGAGGTGAGGAGCTCTGGGGAGGGAGGCTTCCCACTCCGTTCTGACAGGGTTCCATTGAAGAAGGCCCGGATGATCTGCAAGAGAAACCAGGTGAGGACAGAGTTACAATCCAGTGGGAGGCATTTTGCAGTGGGGTGTGTGTGTGTGTGTGGAGGGAAAGACAAGGAGGGGAAAAGGAGGAGAGATTACTGCTGAGGTCCTCCTTCTGTTTTCATGGAAGCAAGCAGCAAGAATAGACCCTAAAACTTCAGTAGGCAGCAACAAGTCATACAAGGGGAAGACCAAGGTGCAGGAAGAAGAACTTTCGTTGAGAAGTTCAGTAGATGGGTAGCAGTATGATGAGGGACACTGAATTGGGGAGGGGGCAGTGTTTATTAAGGAAAACAGGCTTATCTTCTGAACGTTTCTGGATTATGCAAGTCACTGGTGGTGTTTGGGAAAGGGTGCGAGGCAGCTGGGAGTGAGAAGGAGAAAGAAAACATGACCAGGGATTAGAAGGGAACATTTCTGGCAATAACAGAACTCTGGCAGCTAGGACAGGCCTTCTGGTATGGAAACAGTTTAAGAATGCTTCACTGAGGTAAGCCTGAAAAACTGCATCATCACGTAAAAAAATCCTTCATTGTCCCACGGGGATGTAACAGGGCCATGTTGCTGATTTTCAAGGCATCCTCTTTGATAATGAGATCAATTCTGCAAGGGCTGAGGGTGACATGGCCCCAGAGTGCCTGTCCCCAGCAGATGGCAGCAGGACATTAGCTAGGGAGGACCCCCCCAGCCACCCACCCGCCAGTGATGTGACATCTATTCCCGGAGACAGGGTGGATGTGGTATTGGTGACTCAGTTCCTGAGAGAGAGGAACCATCTTACAGTCACAAGAAAGCCACATTTCTCATTTTCTTCATGTCTTCTTTCTTAGCCTGAAGTCATGAGATGATTTGGTCAGTGCGTGCAAGTCACAACCCTTTTACAAGCACTGAATCTACACTTCACACAAGGAATGAATAAACAAGATAAAGAAGCCTGAGATGGTCCCCAAGATAAACTGAACTAGAACAACTGTAATCCCTACCAACCCTCAACTGTTTTCTGCATGCTTTCTTTATGGTTCTTTCTGCCATGGCTGCTTTGTTCCGACTTAAAACTGAAGTGGCTCACATTCCTCCACACACCAAACATAGCCCTACCACAAAATGGCAGATGGAGCCCTCCTGCTCTGTCTGTACTCCTCTTTAAAAGGATAAATGTCTCTGCTCACTCTCCCTCCTCCCCCAAACTTTTCCCTTCCTGTTCATTGTTGTAGTTAAGAGGGGGCTTTGAATGTCTTCCTGACTTCATAAACCAGAACCCAATTATTAGCTGCTTAGGAGACGCCCCCTGTCCTTCCTACATCTCCCCTCTCACCTTCTCAGGAGCATTGATGACACCAGTGTTGTAGCCAAACTGGAGAGATCCAATGGCAGCAACGGTAACAGCATAGATAAGGGGTACTGTGATTTTCTGTGGAAAGGAGGAAGAAAATGATTATTTTGTTTATTCATGCATTCTATATGACTTGAGCTTTTCTTTAGCATAAACAGCAGCTTCAGCTCATAGGTGGCATGTGCAAGTGTACCAGTGGCAGGGAATGGACTTTAATCCAGCAAGGGTGGCTATTAGAGACTCTCTGGAAAGGGAGATGCAACTGTATAGCAGGAAAAAGCTCTGTGACCAGAAGCCTGATGGCCTGTGGGGACCTCCCTTTTACCACCTCCTGACCTTCATCAGCTATTCTCAGCTCATTAGCAACGAATAACACCAGCTGTGTTAGTGGCTGTTATTTTGGGTTGATCTGCTTTACGAAAAGCCTTTGCTGATCTCTGGCATGTCATGAAACAAGGGTCTAACTCTTCCCCTGCCAGCTGACAAGTTCCCATAAATTGAATCTCAGATCTGCCTATGAGCTGCACTTGCAGTCGCTCCTAACAGTTAAAACATGCACTCTTCAGCAACATGCCTGCTTTTTGCAGGCTAGGGCTTCCCAGCCCTGCCGCAGGGCAGCTGGCACAGCAGCCTGTCTCACAGAGGTGCGCTGCCAACCTTGCCGTTTGTTTTTCGTGAAGCTGGAGCAATACTTGCTATTTTAAATGAAGCGCAGGCCCTGGATTTGAGCGTATGTGAATCGCTGTTTACCAAAATAAAGTACTGCTGGGCTCTCAGAGCCACAGAAGCAGCAGGAAGGTCCAGTTTCAAAGCACCACAGAGCGAGAAATCCAAGTGTCAGTGAAAAGCATCTGACATCTCCTGCGTTTTTAAAGCTCGTGGCATTTAAGCCAGCTCTCTGCCAGGGAGGCGTGGGGGAGCAGGTGACTCAGGAGTTGGCACAACTTGGAAAGATCATGTTTCTTTCCCAGGATGGATTGGAAGCTCTGCCAAAAATATTAACAGCCCATTTTCCAGGGCTCCCCCATTATTGTCCTACAGCTGGCAGAGGGGCCTACTGTCACAGCTCTTCAAGTCTCTCATGTTCCAGCTGAGCTCCAGGAGCAGTGTCTCCCAAGACTGACCAAACTCTTGTACAATAGCCTTCTGCCAGTGCTCCTGCCACCTTTACCAATCTTTCAAGCCAAGCCAGCTCTTCTGGCCTGCGCAACCCTCACCCAGCTACCAGTTAGGCCCCAGTAATCAGAAACTGGGGAAGTTACTCTCAGGCTTGGTTTCCCCCACCCACATCATTAAATGTCTCAGGCTCTCTCCCCGATAAGGTTAGTGATGGAAACAAAGGGGACAAGGGCCTTTCCTTGCAGGGGGCAGGCAGACGGTTCCCAAGGTAGGGCCCACACCTGAACACACCCTGAACAGTCTAAGCCTGCCACCCTGGGACCACCCCCCTCATTTCTGTCTCAAGGAGATTTGGCACAGAACCACAGCTCTTTCAAAGCACCTGGATACCTGTAAAAGGACATGAAGCTATCTAAGCACTTTTAAAACACCAGGCCAGGTCATCCCTAGTCAGCAGGCACAGCAAAGCCGAGGACAAAACTCAGCCCTCCACGTCTTCAACACAGTGACTCAACACAAGAGCATCTTTCCCCCCAGGGCTCCGCTTTGTCACGGCTTGCGGTGGTCACAGCCTTTTTTCCGGATGCAGCAGGGCCCTGCTTTGAGTACCCCTTACCCACATGGCACGTCTATAAGCTATAAGGAGGTTAGTCGTTCTAGCCCCTTTCATGCTACCGGCTGTTGCCTGCTGTTCCATCCCCTACCACGTAGGCATCCCATGGCCTGACCCATTCCCTCCAGTGAGCCAGCCCATGATCTAATGTATGGACCGTTTGTTACTGCTGGGAGCACCTCACTTCCCAAAACACAAACAAGGAGCTCCGAAATAGTACAGCTACACCCACCCTATCCAAAAGCTTCAGGCTAAGGTCTATACACCACCAAGGAATTCAAACCACCACCCCTTCCCTCCAACCACAGGCATCGCAGTACTCATTACCCAGGACATGCTCCTCACCAGGCCCCCCTCCTCCTTCACTGGCTGGAACCTCCGAGCAGTCGCAACTTGTTGAGCCCAACCACAGCAGCCTCCGAGCGACCTTGATCACACGCTCTCTGCCTCCTCTCGCTACCCGCATGTCCCGTCAATATGGCGATGAGGGCCCCGGGCATCCCCGTGCAGCTGTAATCATCCCCTGGCATCCCGCCCCGGACCCAGCCGGGTATTTGCCCTCTCCCCTTCCTTACGCCTGCCCGCTTCTCCCCCCGATGCCTTCCGACACATGCAGTCATTAGCTCACTGCACCGGTGCACGCCTCGCTCGTAGCTGCGGAGGAGCGATGACACCAACAAAAGCTCTGCCCCTTGCTCTCCAAAGAGGGGAGAAAGGACATGCTCATTCTTATTGAGATTTCAAAGTGCCT